GTGAAGGCAACAATTTATCTTTGACCTGTGTAGTAGCAGGAGCAACTGAATACATCAGCAATCACAGGAATTGACAGGAATTAATTTCAACATTAAGCAGTCTGCCTAAAGAACAAATAAAGTCTACCTCTCTACTGACTGCACAAGAATACCTAAAATGAACATCAGAGATGGAGAGCAAAAGGATGCAGGAGGGAGGGGAAGGTTAAAGAAAAATAGGTCAGTCCACTACATTGCTTCAGAAGAACACCCCTACAGACATCCCAGGGACGGTAAAGGACCAAGGCAGCCAGAGTCAGGAAGCTCACCTGTGGTCATCAGCACACTTTCAGAAGACGTATGGCAAAAAGGGAATATTCTTAAGGAAAGAAGGACAAAGACATGCAGAACAGAAGAAGGCTTTAAAAGAGTTCAGTCACAGCCAGGTGTAGTACAAGCCTAGGACTCTGACAGGATGACCTCAAGTAGGGCAACTTAGTGAGTCCCTGGCTCAAACAAGTAAATAAATGAAGGGCTGGAAATGTAGCTCAGTGCAAGGGCTCTGGGTTCCTAAGCAGAAAGAAACACCGCATGAATCCCCTACCAGCAGCACGGTAGGAAAGCAAGCAAGGCTAATGCAGTTGAAGCTCCCACAAGCCTCCACGCAGAATCAGAACAGGAATGCAATAGGGACAACAGTGCAGAGCAAGTATCCCCTAGCATCTACAGGCTGCTTACAAAAGGAGATTGACACCCACGTGTAGCTGGCAGCTGAGGCTCAGGCACCGCAGCCCCATTAGACAGCACTCCAGAGAGGCTTAGAAAGCAGCACCACAGCTGCTGTGCACACCCTGCTTGGCTGCCTGGCGCGCCTTCCTTAGGACGAACAAGAACCCAGAGACTGCAGCTGCAGTGTAAGACACAGGTCCCTGCCCCAACTCCTTCCAATAAACACTATCAAGCAGCAGCACCCAACCCCTAGAAGCAGGCTGCAAGGGAGACAGAGAAATGAGACCAGGTGCTGGAGGAAAACACTTTGCACTGTTCTCTTCCACGTCCTCATGTTTTTTCTAACATAGAGAGAATACATGTGTATATGAAATAGAATTAAAGAAACAAAGTATAAGAAGTAATATTTTAGACAGCAAAAGCTGTTTCTCTGAAAAGACAAAACAACAGACTCCTTAAAAATCTGACTTAAAAAGAAAGCAACAAACATAAATTTTAAAAGTCGTATCTTCAGACAAGACAGGAATTGAAGATACCCTATATGCAATTCCATCCTGATAACTTTGACAACTTCCAAAATATGGAACTTAGCAAAACAAAACCGAGAAGACCTTATCTACTAGAGAAAGTTGACCAGAATTTACACCTGGCAGTGTCCAAGAAGCAAGGAAAAGAGGATATTAGAGCTGGGCACAGTGGTACACACAAGCTACTCAGGAGGCCGATGCAGGAAGACTGTGAGTTGGAGGCAGTCTGGGCTGCCCAAGACCCTGGGCTGGGTATGCGGTTCAGCGGGAGAAGAGCCCTGGATGTGATTCCCAAAAACCTCACACACAAAACAGAAGATCAGCAAGTACATGAGCCCCAGACCTAAAGGTCTAAGGGGTCACTTAACCTTAGGATCACACTGAACACTACTTGCAGTTTCTAAACAGGACAGTGTATACAACACGAGCTAGAAGGGAACGTGACAAAAGAGGTCTCTAAACTACAGGAAAGGAAAGTCTTGGCTCACTTTTGCTACAACTATGATAAAAGAGGCTGCAGGTCAGTCCCACTTCCCCACAGCGGGAGTGGGGAGTACAGAGGACAGAAAGAGCCAGACAATCTACAAAACCTCAACGTGGGTCATCAAGAGCAGACAGGCTACACGACAGGGTGCAACAAGGAAAAGGGACACAACGTTGTCAGTGTTTCACCTATGGCAGGGGAAGGAAGGTGGAAAGAGGTCACACAGCAGGAAGAAAGGATCGCAAGAGAAAAAGTCTAACCTCAGAAAACCCCAAGCACAGAGATATTCCTACTGCCTCAAGAGTTGCAAGCAGGAAGTAGAGAGGGAATCTGTGCCAGGCCCACACCAGTACCAGGCTGCAGCACATGCCACTAGAGACAAGTTGGCCCAACCAACTGGCTCAGCCTACCAGGTAGACGCTCCAGTGACAGTCTCCACCTGGCACTCTCCATGCACTGCATGGCGCTTGGCCAAAGAGAACAAGAGGAACAGACAGCAAGATTAATGCTTCAGAAAGAAACAACAATACCAGTTCTACATACACTCCCAGAAAGGCGAGGTAACAGGAAGGCACACCTACCTCAGCTTGTTATATGATAAGGGACACTGTAAGACAAAAAGGCGACAGTCACTTTGCACGAGCATATATACAAAGCATAACAAAACTCCAGCAAACACAATGTAGTAGCAGGTACAAGGGATGGCCACAGAAAGACATGCATGAAAGCTTCCCCTGCAGCTCTTTGTAAAACAGCACAATTCTGTGGCGCGGGCCCCATCTTCTGCACTGAGACCTTATCTGTTCCTGTTATATCACTGGGATTGCGTTTCCAGTGGGTTTCTCTTAGTTTAGTTCGTTCCTGGGTCGGCAAAGTATATCTCCTCTTGCTTAGGACTTCTTGCCTGGCACCATTCCTGGATTTTAAGTGTGGTTTCTCAGAGAGCCTCCGAAGCTGCTGTTATCTATCCGCCATGTACTCCCGGAAGTACCAAACAGCACAATTCTGGACACAACCCAAAGGGCCATCTGAGAGTTGGTAAAGTGCTACATCTGTATGGTTTTGTTTTTGTTCTTGTTTTTGAACAGTACTGGTGGTTGAACCCAAGGTGTTCCCACTGAGTTATACCCTCAGCCCTTTTTACTTTCGTTTACTTTAAAACAGGGTCTTATTAAACCAGTAAAGGGCCCAGGCTGAGCTCAAACTTCCAATCCTCCTCCCTCCAACCTCCTAATGTTAACACCATAGGTGTGCATCATCACCCTCACCTCTATCTGTACAACTTTTTCAACAATAAAATGAAGCAAACTACTGACAACATGGATCACTCTCAAGAGTACTATGTCAAGGGACAGAAATTTATGTAAGGCTGGATGTGGTGTATTCCCAGCATTCTGGAGGCTGAGGCAGGAGGATCACTGTGAATTTTAAGCCAGCCTGGGCTACAAAGTGAGTTCAAGGCCAATTTGAACTGCATAACAAACAAAACCCTGTTTCACAAAGACACACACCAAAAGGAAGAATAGGTAGAGAAGCAGGAAAAAAAAGGAGGAGGAGAAGGAAGAGCCAGACAAAGAGTAAGATACTTTTGTTTATGTGACACTCTTAAGAAGCAGGGGTTGAGGACAAAACAAGGGGCTGACTACCAGGGGAAACATGTGAGTTCTGCAACCCAATTATGGTCAGTGTTTTGTAAAGAGAAAAGGGTGAATTTTTACTGAAAGTAAATTATTTATTACTATCTTAAGAGGCCCCCAGAGTTGCCATGGAGGTCGCCCTGCAAAGCCTGCAGGTGTCTGTGTGCATGCTGGTTAGCACCGTGCCTGAGTGACAGCCTGGGCTGCTGCCATGGGTGAGAACAAGTGTGCTGGACAGAGAACTGGCTCCAGCACAGAGCCTTGAGGGAATGAGGGCCCCAATGCAGGGTGTGGCCTTCCTAAGGACACAGGCAGATCAAGTACCACAGCAGGGTGGAAATCAGAAGGGATAAAGTCCAGGACACACACAGATGAAACAAAAAGCTTCAGTTGGCAAAACACAAGAATGTAGACTGGAAATGGCACAGGAAATGAACTAATGCTATATACCCTACTAATAATACTAAGTAATACTAAATAGCCTTCCATTAAACACAATGCAGAAAAGACCAAATATATTAAGTGAGCATAGAACACAAACATGAAAAATGAATAAAACAAGATCTGAAGGGACCAAAACTTCACACTGTGTTCTCTCCACTCTGGCAGTTCACTCCTTTGGTTCATTCATTCACTTAGTCATTAATTCAAATATTTTGAGTAGCTAAGTATGTCAGGCAGAAAGTACACAAGAGCTAGCATTCCAGTAAAAAAGAAAAGGCAAAATGAGCAAGTGAACCATACAGTATGTTAGAAGCAAGTCTGAGGAAATGGGGACAGGTGGAAGGGACTCTTCAGCAGCAGAGGAAAGGTAGCTCCAGGAGGATGCTGGGTGACGCACGAGGAGACCTATCCACTCAGCAGTCAAATTGTTCACATTGTCACAGAGATTAAATGGAAAGCAGGCACAGATTACAAAATAAGATAGTGGCTGCTACTCTTTACTGGCCACCTACAGCAAGGGATCAGATGGAAAAGCTGAAACAGTTACCAGCAACAGAAATCAAACAAAATAGAACTGGAAAGTGGGGCCTTATGTGGTGGCAGAAGGCAACTCCAGGAATCCAAACAGATTTGGAAGCCCCCCACAGGCTTAACGCAGGTCAAAGCTCAGGTCAAGAATGTGGTCTCCTGCTGGTCGAATGACCTCCAGTTAGCCTCTGTTAAAATGAGCTGGCCCTGGGGCTGGGGATTTAGCTCAGGGGCATAAGAACCTGCCTTGCAAGCAGGCGGTCATGAGTTCCATTCCCAGTACGATTAAAAAAAAAAAAAAAAAAAAAAAAAGCTGGCCCAAGGACAGGAGGAAAGGGGGCAGGAAAGCCAAGCTCTAAAACGGCATCTAGAAGAAAATTTTAGGCCTTGCTAGTACATAGAATTGTCTAGAACCAAACACACAAAAGGCTTGCTAGCTCCTCGGGAAAGTGCTTCACACACAAAATCCTGTGCCCAGACTAATACAACCAAAACACTCTGTGGACCGCCAGCTGGCTGCCTCTGTCAGGCCTGGCAGCAGAGGCCAGGAGGGACATCCAGAGAGCAGTGCGGAAGAGCTCCCTGCAGCATAAGCAGTCCTTCCCTTCTGCTGCCAGTGAGCCCACAGCCCACAGGGAGGCGCACTGTGCCCGCTCACAGGCAGCCACTCACCGGCTGGTCAAGGCCGCCTTGCCTTTCTTCCTTCTCCACAGTCCTCCGGCAGTCCGGGCACACCCACAGCGGCAGGTGCAGCACGCTGTTGCCCTTGGAAGCCATGGAAAGGGCCAGTTTGTTCGCAGTCTTAACTCCACTCTCTAAGAATGAAGAGTCTTTCCGTTCACTTCTGCACAGAAGACAATAATCCCCAGCGGGGTAGGGTGGTGTCCTATGATTCATGCCAAAACTAAAAGGAGTCTGGAACAGAAAAAAAAATTCTGTTTTCAAAACCTGATCCACAAAGCCAAGATTGTTTAAAAATACACTTAGTTCTAAAATAAAATGCACATATACGTTTTTGTAGAGAATCATAAAATAGGACACCTGTTGAATAAAACTGAAACTAACGCTCCAGAAATTCATAATACTTCAAATAAAACAGTAATGCTATAAAGAAAATCTTTGTGCGAGTCAGAAGCTGTCTGTGCAGCCCTTTACCTAGACTTTGTGATCCTTACCCCCAGAGGAAACAGCCAGCCTCAATTTTCAGAAGCACTCTCCATTAAAAAGGTTTGAAGCCGCGAGGCACCAGCTTACCATACTAGCACCAAGGGGACAACTCTGCTGAGATCATCACTGAGATACACCCTCCGCGTTCTAGCTTCCACACTAAGGGCCAGAGCACAACAGACTGACGGCAGCCATACACACAAGGCCAGCTCTGCAATAAGCAACACGCACTCACCTCCAGCTACCTGATTTCAACCAGTGTCTTCAAATTGATCCTAAACTGTGGGATGAAGTTGAGGGTGGAGGCCTGAGGAAGAGGCAGAATATGATCCTGGATCCTATCCAAAGATCACCAAGTACTCTACTTGAAGTAAAACTAGCCTCAGAAACACAGGTGTGCAGAAAAAAGCCATGGTTTATGGGTCTGGAAATGGCCTAGAGTCCTTAAGGACAGCAAGCAGACAGCCAAGATTTTAACACCACAAACAATATGAATGGTCCCCAGATGGCCTGACAAGGTACACCTACAGGTTCTGGAGAGCCTCAGAGCCAGGAAAGGGTCAAGGTGGCGCCAAGCAGGAGCTGGGAGCCACATGACAGAGCACCTCTTGGTCTGTCCTTGACAACTGGAGCACTTTGCTGCCTATCAACCAGGTGGGAGGGAGGAATAGGACCACAGCAAGGCCACTGTGGCTTTCCTGAAAGGCTCCAGCCATACCAGCTCTGCTGGCTCCTGAGCCTCTGTCCTGTCACTATGCTCAGCTGAGTTGTGCTGACAAGACTGTTCAGCCAACTGAGAGCGCCTAGGTAGTCCCCAGGTGCCAGGACAGCAGTGGGTTTTGTTTTGTTTTTTGGTACCAGAACTCAAATTCAGGACCTTGCATTTGTCAGGTAGGTGATGCACCACTGAACGATATCCCCAGCTCAGGCAGTGGGACCTTATACAGGAACGCATGAACAAATGAGCAAGCAGGGAATGACAGCACCTCTTGATGCAATTTCACACATGCCCACTCCTGTGCAAACCAGCAGTCAAAACTGCACGCACCTATCACACCTACAAGGTCCTGGGGTTTAACTGGACACAGTTCAGCAGCCACATGATGAAGTCTCGGAATGCCATTTAAGGGACAAGGGAGGAGAACTGGCTACTGTCTCCCACTGGTGTCCTCACAGGCTGCACATTCGAAACCACGGTGTGAAGGAGAGCAGACATCTTTCCTTGTACCTGCAGATCTGTGAAGTCTAAATTACAACTTCAGAATTCACACTGGCATGCCTGGTGTTCTGGCACAGGTCTAAAATCCCAGCATTCTGGGAGGCTGAGGCAGGAGGACTGCAGCCTGGGCACCTTGGCAAGACCCTGTCTCAAAAAATTTAAAAAAGGACTATGGATATAGCCCAGTGTGAAGGCCTTGGAACCAGTCCCAGGACCAACCTCTACCCCTGCCCTGTGCAAAAGACAAAACAAAACCCTCACACTGATCCCTCCCCCCCCACGATGTAGTCATCTCTCTTTCTCAGACCCCAACACTGACAGAACAGCTAAAACCATCAGACCACATAGCTGCTTGTCTACCATAGAAGGAAAGGCTGGGCTCCAAGGTCCCAGTCTAGGACAGAACACAGTTGCAGTTATGACTCTGCTCAGCTCCCACCTAACCATCACTAGCCCAGCAGTAACTGAAAATTCCTTATCCAAATGACTTGGTCCCATATCCTAAGGATGGTACCCAAAATTCATACTCTCAGAAAATCTGTTTCATATATATCTTATACACATGGACTGGAGGTCACTTTACACAATATTTTGAGCATACTTGCATTTTGACTGCAACTCATCGTGTGAGCTCAGGTGTAGAAACTTCCACTAGTAATGTCATATCACCTGGTAAAATGTTTCAGATTTTGTGTTGGTTTTTTTGTGTGTATACTGGGAATCAAGCTCAAGACTGTGTACTTGCCAGACAGGCAGTGTGTCTCTGCAACTACATTCCTGACTCCCCAAAATTTCAGATTTTGGAGCATCCTTAATTTCAGATTTTTGTACTTAACTGAGTCCAGCATCTATCAGGGCATTGGGGCACACTGATAAATAAGCAAAGATTTCTGCCCTTCAGGAGCTAATAGTCTCATCAAAGACAAAACCAATACATAAAGGTAAATAAATAAAAACATACTTTAGACAAGGAGGAAAACGTGAAGCAGAAAAGGAGTCTCTGATGCTGGGATTGGTGTCCTTTTATTTAGGATGATAGTGAGGGTTCTTTGAGGAAATGATCTGAGACCCGTGACACATCACAGACACCTTGGAAAGGGCACAGAGGTGAGCAAGCAGAAAGGCTCTAAATCAGGAGATCAGATGGCCAGGTAGGTGAGGAGAGGGTAGCAGATGAGCTGTTGAGGGACAGGGGCTGAAGACCAACTCCCAGGCTGTGTGCAGAGAAAGAGATGGGAAGAAGGAAGTGAGGTCAGGGGGCAGTTGGCAGTGGCCTGGACCAGGGACACAGGAATTGAGAGAGGACAAAGTGCAGGACAGCAGAAAGATCAAGGGCAGCATCTGGGCCTTTGGACAGAGTATGCACACAGTTCTGAATCATAAAAAGTCTATCAATGTCTTACATCTACTCCAGGCCAGGCCTTCTAGGACAGGCCAAAAGGATACAGCACAAGAAGCACAGTAAACACACAAACTCAAAGCCAAATTTGTGTTCATCCATGAAGAAAACAGTTTGCAAGGATGTGGCCTGGGACTAAAGGGTGGTGCTTTTGGTTGTTTCTATTTTTGCTTTGAGATTAGGATTTCATAATTGCCCAGGCTATCCTCAAACTTTTGGGCTCAAGCAATCCTCTTGCCTCAGTCTCCTGATAGCTGGGATTACAATGTGTTCTATCTTGCCCAGCCAGAGCAGCATTTTCACAGGAGTGAAGACCCAAATGACAAGGGAAGAAGTAAATGGCCATGTGAAGATCTAGGAGACAAGCTGAATGTAGAGAGGACAGCATGTAAAATCCAAGGAGAGGGCCTGTGAGCATGCAGAGCACGAGGACAGGCAGGAGAGCTACCAGATTATGGTTCTGACATGGCTACGGTTCCTGCTTCCATCTTAAAAAGACACTTTGTTGTATGGAAAACGAGCTCCGAGAGACAAGGTAAGTAACCCTGCTGTGGGCAGCTCCAGAGGCAGGGTGAAAACCAGGGGCTTTAGGCTCAGTGGGAGCCAAGAAGAAAGAAGAGCAGTCAGACCCAGGAGTGCCAATTGGGACTTTAGAAGAACCAGGGGTGTGGGGTGAAGGTCAGACCAACCACAGACATGCCAGACATACAGAGGCTTGGCCCAGAGCAAGAACCAAAAGTCTGCTCTGGATGCTGTTCACACAGAGCACAGACTCAACCAACACAGTCAGACATTCAGGGTACAGGGTGCAACTGGATCTATGATTGGCATCCCCGGTCCAGGAGAGCTCTAAAGCCATAGAACTAGATGAGATGGCCCACAATGTTCAGAGTGAGGAGTTGAACCCAGTGGCCTACCACTGCCAGTGCTGGAAAAGTGCTGCTTAGTACATTTTGTCCTATGTTTAGTTTTAAAAGGACAAATCCAGTCCAAGCTACTACATCCTGCGTAGAAGCAGAGGTCCAATTACATAGATATACAAAAAAAAGCAGTAGGCTAGGCATGGCAGGATATGGCCTATAATCCCAGCACTCTGGAAGGTTAAGGCAGGACAATCACAAGTTCAAATCCAGCCTGGGTAACTTAGTGACTTAGAGACCCTGTCTCAAAATAAAAATTTTAAGCAGGGCAGCAAGGGGTATAGCCCAGTACAAAGGCTCAATACCCAGTACCACCAAAAAATAAAATTTTAAAATACACAGAAGTGTAAGAATGAATATTAAGGGGCTGGGGATTTAGCTCAGCGGCATAAGCGCCTGCCTTGCAAGCAGGCAGTTCTGAGTTCGATCTCTGGTTCCCATAAAAATGAAAAAGACCAAAAAAAAAAAAAAAAAGAATGATATTAAGTAAACACTGTCTCCAAAATTCAACATACAACTATACTATATACTACACATGACTACTGTGACCCAGAAACTTTTCCAAAGAAGCATGTACACATATTCCAGAGATGACAATACTGCTGAAAACACTTCAGCATTACTACTCAGCTATACTACTAAAACAGTGCTTCCCTTTTATGCATTTTAGCCTTTCTAAGTAAAGTGATTTTCTACTGTTAGGTACGTTGTCACTTGCGGCTAGCATATATATCCATATATAGGGGTGGGAATGGGTAGGTAACAGAAGACATTAATTAACTCATAATATAGATTTGAACATCCTTAATCTGAAAATCTAAAGTCAAAAATGCTTGAAAATCCAAATTTTTAAGTGCTGTCATGATACCACAAGTCGGAAATTCCACAATTGTGTTTTCTACTGGAAATGGGTCACAACCAAAACAAAGGCACACTAAAAATATTGTATAAAATTACCTTTGGGCTATGTGTATATGTGAATTTCATGTTTAGACTTGGGTGCCATTCCTGAGATGTCTTATTATCTAGATGCAAACATTTCAGAATCTGAAAAAAAAAAAAATCTATCTGAAATGCTACTGGGTTCCAAGCATTTTATTTATTTATTGTTTTACTGATAGCAAAAATCAAACTCAGGGCCTAACACTTGCAGGCAGGCACTGGTGCCACTGAGCTACATCCCTGGCCCTCAAGCATTTTAGATAAGGGA